AATGCAATAAATAATCTCATAAGAATCCAGCGTTTTATATTTTTAATAAAAAAGTGCCATTGTAAAACTCTTGGCTCACAGAACTTAATTATCAAGCTTTCATCCAAGTCCTTGTAAGTGATGAACCTTGGTGACAACCAAAGGTTGATAGGGAAAAATGTGTATTCCCCAACTGGTTGGCAAGTGGTTGCTGGAAAACTGACTTTAGGTGCAAAGAGGTGTGAGAAGATGCACCAACAATCTATCTAGGGACTGTTTGCAGTCAACTAGGCTTGTTCCATTCACACTACAGGTGACCAAAGCAATCTGAGAGTGACCAAAACAATAATTTGCGAATGACTCCTTCTACAACTTCTTGATGTCACCAACTAGGTTGCTGGCTATCTATTAGTTGGGTGACTGAGGTCAGGGAATATGCATTTTCCTCTAGCTGCTGGAGGTTGCCAAGGGGTTGTTGACCAAGCTCTAGAGATGTGTGATTGGGGGAAAAGTTATAAGATATATATGTAATTTTTTGGAGTATGACGTCACTTATTAACTGTTTATGTATCTCTCTACTTCCGCCTCTGCAGGCCTTGATTTCACATATTTGATAGCAATGTGAACCCTTCACCTAAAATATCTTTAAAAAAAAAAGAAGAAGGGGGAATTCATTGCAAACTATATTTTGCCCAACACAAAAATATCTCCTCATGGTGCACTTGTGACAGAAAAACACTGTCCCAATTAAAACTAGGAAAAATAAAGATGAGTGTTTTCTTGGGGGGGAAACACCTATAATATGCCTCATACGTTAGTGAAAATGCATGTTATAACATCACACAAAGAATGAAACACATGCTCAGAATGTACTCATTAAAATAGATGCACATATCCACTGCACGTGGCATGACGTTTCCATAGGAATATCTCGTCTTGCTGAATGTGTGTCCACGTGTTCACACATTTGTTCATCTGTGCACATCATCTGCCTTGCAACAAGATCTTTCATTTGCCATCTAGAAGAGGCATCATACAATAAACACGCTTAAAAATAAACATGCATTGTGTGTATGCATTGTCATCTGTGATTCATACTATCATTTTTTTCATTCTGAGTAACCAAAGACACCCTTATAGCACAATACAGCTGTATCTCAATAGACACTGCATAATCCTCCACACATCCCACTTGCTGTTCTCCTGTTTTCTGTGTATTCTTTCTCCTTTCGTTCTCTTCCTATTTCACTCCTGCCCATCGCCTTCACATCTTCTCTTCTCTCCTCTTCTTTTTCAAACTGTTTTTCTCTCTTCTGCTCTACAAAATCTTTATTTACGTAGCTTCTTATCATCCTCAGATTCTCCTTCTCATTTCACTCTTCTACCTAACAGTTCAGTTCAACAAGCCTTATTGGCAAGATAAAATCGTGCCTGAAGCACTTGTGTATACCAGAACACCACATTAGCCTATAGTGGAAAAGCATGCATGGATATTTTGAATTATCTCACGGAGCCCGCATTTCCTGCTGGTGTTAGCATTTCTTTCCTACATTTTCACATTATTCTCCCTCTGGTACATGTGAGCTTCTCTCACTGTTAGGACATGCTCTTGTAGGATTCTCTACTTATATCATTATGGATCAGACACCACAGTAACACACACACACACACACACACACAGACACACACTCCATGCTCACAGCGTAGACTTTTTTTGTATTCATTTTGTATATTTTCCTTTTGTAATATCTTGAACAGCTGTTCAAGATATTACAAGATATGTAAGTGTAACTGACAGAGACCTCATTCACTTGTACAAATAAATCAAATATAATGATTTTGATGAGGATGATTTTCTACCATTTTTGACATGCTTAAACTGATCAGTATGCCTTTTTTTGTGAGATTATATAATCTCTATAATCTCACATAGAGATTATAATTAATGCAAAAAAATAGGATCTTAGCATGCTACGTAAGCTTAACCTTAGACATAAAGGAATGTCTTTCATTTGCAGAAAAGAACAATAAATAATCTGAAAGAGGAGATAACAAAGTTGCATCAGTCATTCATCATCGTTAGTGTGTGCAGCATCTAGCAACCGTCATTCACTTTAACAACTTACAGAATGGAGGTAAAAAAAAATGGCCGTCATTTTTATTAGTGAAGATAATGTTTTTTTCTTTGTTTCTTCCCCCAGATGAACGATCTTGTCGTGGAAGGGATAAACACTATATTTATGTAGGATGATAAACCAAACGGAGGTCATTAAACTTGTTAAGGATTATGTGAACCCCTGTCACATGAGAAAAAACAATGTCATAAATCAGTTTGACAGGTCAGTTAACGAATTACATAAATTTGTTATCAATCATTATGCATTATGTAACAATGCAAAAGACCAACCAATGCACTTTTGCGATAATGCTGTGCAGTCTGAAGAGGTCATTACAAAAATCAATCACTTTGTGTTTAATAACAGCCTGCTAATTGTTAATTATTATGATCAGAGCTGGGTTTGCTAGTGTCAGTGTTGCTAGTGTGCAACATTTGGCTTTTCAAAAAAGCTGGAATGACATCAATACCCTTTATGTCATTGCAACAATTACAATGGAATGAATCAATTTCTGTAGATCATCACACACTAACAAGTTGGCAAAGACTTAATGTGAATGTACAAAATAAAAAGAGCTTCAGCCAAAGGCGCTAAAGGCTAGTTGGAAGATAAAAGAAGAGAAATGTTCACTTATCAGTTTTGTCTTGTTTCTCTCTCTCTCTCTCTCTCTCTCTGCGGACAATCATCAGCATCAATAGTCAGAGGAGATGCTTACTGGTGTAAACAATTTGTGATATCTAAACCACTTCTGCAATCACACTTGTGCTGGTCATGGCGTCACGAGTTCACATAGATGCACACAGACAATTACTACGGTCATAGGTATATAAAAACTGTTAACTGTGATTGAAGTACTCTTAACAGCCACTTTGGTTCTTGTGTTTGTGTGCCAGACCAAGAACACTGACTGATTGATTCATTGCTGGTGCCATTACTGAATGAACAATGAAGGTGTCTGTGTCACTTTGTAATTGAAATGCAAATTTAAGCTGGAGACACCATCATTACTGGTTGTCCCTGCAACATCTCATAACCATCACTTACTAGAAGAAAATAACATCTTTGTTGTGCTGCCCAGTCAAAACACAGCAGAAATCACACGTTTCCTGTTACATTTTACATCCCCTTAACATTATATAGAGGAGTAATTACATGTCTGTTACCTTTTAAAAATTTCTTTTGTTTTTATTTTACTTACTGAATCCGTAACCTGTGTTCAAACTGCAACTACATTTAGTTTCTGATGTAAATAAACTTAAACTGGACTAAGTAATTACTGTAGGAAACTGTAGCAGACCCCCCC